AATAAAAAGGGAAGTACAAAAATCAAAGTGGCTTTCAATAACAATTCTTCACCATAAACCAAATCTAAATAACAAAAATATTACAATCTCAACAAATTGAAGCCATGGAAATAACCTTCACAAACCAAAACTGAAAAAAAATGGCCCTCTCTTAAGTCATCATCATCATAAATATTTGAACTCCGTGGGTTGAAGCGCCTTCAAAATTAGACCTTAAAGAATTTTGGTATACACAAACATACATGTATCTTAATTAGCATAATTATACATAGTTGTCACTCTTTTTTTGAAAACCAAAAACCAAAGACCTTCAAAATTCTATATAAGCAACTACCAAAGGCCATTTCGTTAGTCAATGTAACGCCCTCAAAATAAGACATATGACAATCATGTTTAAGATCCATAAACATAAGAGAAAAGTGTTATATTTTCATCAGAGTCTCTTTTACAAAAGATATCACATGCGTTATATTTTCATTGATGTTTATCCTGAAACTATAGCATGTAATTCTAACTCCTAATAACAAAGTAAACACCCTAAGGACTTACATCTTTCCAAGCTATCACTTGGTTACAGCAAAAGAAGAGTTCTAACTCTTTTACATATAAAGCCCTCGGCTTGAGTTTACATTTAACATAAAAAATAAATCATCAAAATGGATTCTTCAACTCCTAAACATCCCAAGCTAAGACCTTGGAGGCAGCATATTCTCTATACCTGAAAAATGGTGTCCCATGTAGGGTGAATCAAAGCCCAGTAGAGATATGCTAAACAATATATGAGAATTAACTAAAACATTAGCATCCGATAAATGTTTAACACTTGTAAACTAACTTACACCATTTCCATGACCAATCAACATTTACATCATAACAAATCCACTTCTCTTTAAGTATCCAAATCAATCCATTGACATAGCTCAATATTATTCAAACAATTCAAAACGAGACTACAACTCATTAATTAACACTTCAATCATAAACATCATTTGTACACTTCCATTCACTTGCCATTTTACGGAACTATGTCCGAGGGAACCGGCACCCAAGTATAAATAAGATTTTGGGACTTTCATCCTGGACACTCCGGCCAACTTAATTATCCATGGAGTCCATCCCCTACCTCCTCCCACACAATGGAGTACATCCCCTATCTCCTTCCAAACAAGATACATATACAATGTATTTAAACACATTGTCATATACAGTGACCAATTAAATCACATATTCAATGTTTATATCCAACCGTCATATTCAGTGACACAATCCAATTGATTAATTTTAATTCACCTAATCATCATGCAATTTCTACAATATTCATAGCTATCCTACACCGATAGTCCAAAACAGATATATCTAGACAGATAAATAGATTTCTCAATAGATAAATTATCATATTTTCCATAGGTGAGTGATTCATTAATCCAACTTGTCATGCCCCAATTTTTATTACTTGAAATTATAACCAAAACCTTTAATACAAGACCATTTTATTAACTACAATTATTATTACAAACACCCATTACATGGGGTAACAATAACAACATTGTTCACTCTCAAATAGTACCACAATAATACATGTACAAAATTCACATTGAAATACACATGAATCTCTCATTTACAAAAAGCATCTCTCATTTACACTATGACCAAATAATAGAAAATAAACTCTTCAATCCTCAATCCGGCATTCCAAATTTTGTTCCTGAAAAATGGTTAAAATAATTGGGATGAATATGAAGTCCAGTAGGAATCTTCCATGATTCTAAACAATAAGGTCCCTAGATACATGTGATCATGAAATGCTAAAAAGTGATATAAATATAAATTCGTTGTGTTCTTTTCATACACAAATTACAATACTTATAGGTAATACCATTCTCATAAAGAAATTCATGAAAACTTTTCAAAGAAAAACCCTTTCATTTGTTTATGTATTAGTCAAATATATTTTTCAAAAAAAAAATCTTTTCAAGAATCCCTTGTTAACTTTACCTAAAAGTATAAACATATCCACGAGTCATTTTCCTATATATCACAACACATTACAACCCATTATAATCCACATAAAAAGAACCCATGCAATTCCATATATTTGACTTTACCCAATCAAGATTATTCACTTTCCATTATCTCAAACACAAGTACAAATCTCGCTATAATCATTCCATACAATCCAAATTGGACACCGGCTCCATTACCAAACCTTAACATCATACCACACGCTTTACCGGTCACAAGCCGGAAGGAACGCGGAACCTTTACACGTTTCATCAACCCACACGCTTTACCGGGCACTACTCCAAAAGGAAGGCGGAACCTTTATTAAGCGCCACGCTTTGTTGGCTCAAATACAGCGAGAAACGGACCCCAAGGCAACATTACAACTATCAAGTTCTTAAGTCATTGCTCATTATAAATTGTGGGCAAAGCCAACACATTCATTCATCATTTCATTACTTATTAGCTCAAGAACAAGTACTCATTATTTTCCACCATTCTCTAGTATTCATCAAGTCATTCGTTGTTACAATCCTAACAAAACCAATAATAATATCCATTATTTTTATCACAAAACTCATCCAATAACACGTCCATTAAGAGCATTTGGCGCATTTTTAGAAGCATTCTCAATTCTTATATTTCAATGGTCTTTTAACTTTTCCACAAAATTATCAAATTTTCATACTCAATTTCATAACACAATAATCATCATAAATTATCCCCAATTAATTGATTTAAATACTCATCTTAATTTCTTCAAAATAACCTTTTCATACAATAGTTATTTTCCAACCATTATTCATCATTATCTATTCTCATCTCTACAAAACATAAACTTAATTTCATAAATTGAATGTCTGTTGAAGCTTTCTTCATTCCCAATATAGATTTCATAACTAGGGTTAAACATAAATTAGGGCTTTTTACTATTTGACACAAAGCCACATTCTCATAACCTAAACACTTTATATTTCACTTACATCATTAATTCAACTTCCATAAATTAAAAACCCTAGCTTCCTTCACATGTCTTTTATCTAACTTACACCATTTCCATGACCAATCAACATTTACATCATAACAAATCCACTTCTCTTTAAGTATCCAAATCAATCCATTGACATAGCTCAATATTATTGTAACAAGATTCAGACCATCAGTGAGGCAGGAAAGTCAGCATGAGGGCTCCAGAATGAGGGCAAAACAAAGTCAGCATGAGGGCAAATGCACTGCTGCCCAGACCAGAACCAAGCAGGCCTCTGCACTGCCATGACAGACCCGAAGCTGGTACCTACCACTCTGCAATCAAACTGCATACATGCCAATCTGCTCCAAGTCCATCTGCTAGCATTCTGCATCATAACATAAGCTTCACGTACAGGAGCTTCACTGGAACCAGAGAGATAGCTGCAGACCAGACTTCTAGAAGCAAATCTGCTACTTCCCACACTGCTACCACTCTGCATAATGACAGACCAAGCACAACCTACGAGATGCAACCTCTCACCTGCTTCAAATTTGCGACAATATCATGCACTGTGTAATTCACCCCTTTAACATATGACTTGATCCATAATGCAATTCTTACTTTCATTAGCTCTACTACCTGTGCAAAATCTGCATTACCATTGTTAAATAAGCATTCATTCCTAAGTTTCCATAAGGACCAAAGCATGGCCAAAGGGACCACCTTCCAAATGTTGAACTCCTTCTTCCTGAATTTCATACCAAACCACCAGTCAAGCAAAATAACCACAGATCCTGGTGTTACCCACTGCACTTCCCACCAGTTTACCAACTCAGACCATAACTTCCATACCAATGGGCATAAAAGCAACACATGATTTATGGTTTCTACCTCTGCTTTGCAAAATACACAAAGTGGGCTGACATTGGCAGGTATAGCTCCAATCCTTTGCATGAATTCTGCTGTTTTAAGTCTCCCTTTCCAAGCTAACCAGGTGAAGAACTGAGCCTTCGGGGGGGCTGCATTTTTCCACAGGAACTTTGAAATGGAAACTGTGGGTCCTGATAATCGCTTAGCACTTGCATTGGCAAATAACCCAGTTTATCATGAAAGAAGTAAGCATATTGACACCCGCTATCATTTCATCCGAGAGCATGTGAAAAATAAAGAGGTGGAATTATTTCCTTGCAAATCTCAAGATCAGCTTGCAGATATTTTCACGAAGCCATTGAAAAATGATCTGTTCAACAGAATGAAGATAATGCTTGGGATGAAGCCGCATGGAGAATCAAGATTAAGGGGGGATGTTGTGAAGTAATCTTGACTAGAGGCTGCATTCAATGCGTTGGTTGCTGCATTCAATGCGGTGGTTGATAGTCGTATACGCATTAAATGCATTCACACTGATAGCTGTATCTGTAATAAATATGTTCACACTACTAGTTTATCTATGTATATAGTTGTATGGTGTATCAGATATAGATGAGAGTGCGGGAGAAAGAAGAGCAAGAGTGCTCTGTTTGTTTTTCAGAATTTATTTTGAGTGAATTGAATTTCAGTTTGGTTCAGTTTTAAACCTCTCATTGTGAATCACCAACAGTGGTTTGCACCCCACTCCCACCAACAAGGTTGAGTGTTGAGTGGACGGTAAAACCGATCCGACTCGACTTGTGTACAGCCCTAGGATCAACACATGGGTATATATATAGACGTGAGAAACTAATGCAAATTAAAACTCCATGAATACACAACGGCCTTGTATTATTTGTCCATAAAACAAGATTTAAAATTTGAATTCAAAATAAAAACCAACATATAACAATATGTTGTGTTAATTCATTGAATTGAATTTGTAGTAATTATAACTCATCAAATTTACTAATTGATTAAATAATATATATTTTTTTCTAATTAAAATTTCTGAACAACATACTAATGTTTTCATGAGCATTGAAAGTTGGAAAAGTTTCATTTGCTTATTTTATATTTTATTTTTCCTTCATTTAATTAATTCCTGCAAAAAAATTAGGAAGTTGAAGCTTGGAACTTATGTAGTGCAGCACTTACATACTATAGTGAGGCAGGAAGCATGATTCCCTACCACAAAAACCTCACTGCTCAAGGATATCGTGCACTGATATATAGGTAATTATACTCATTCCCTCTTTTAATTTCATACACTTTATTTTTTTTTATAACGTACTTTCACATACTTCATTAATTAGAGATGCAATTATTTTCGCCTTCCAAAACAATAATATATTATTTGCACACAAACACATAAATGTGCAATATTGTTTCCTCTCAACTTCATTGTATAATATTGTTTGGCCAGGTTAATGTGAGAGAGAAGAACATAGACAAAATATGAGAGTCAATATTGTTTGGCCAGGTTGATGAGAGAGAGCCTAGACAAAATATGAGAAGTCATGACTCATTACTGATATTGAAAAAGCCTAAAAAAGGTGGCTTAATTTTTCCTTTAATGGAGTACTTTAAAAAAAATAAAAATAAAAATTTGTGGGATCAACTAGTCTAGATGAACTAAAAAAATGGAAAAAATGAAGTTGAATTTTTTTTTTTTGTTAAAGACAAAATTAGTCAAATTATAGAAGTGGTAGATATATAAATGACAGCCATGGATATAAGAAACATGGAGGAATAATCAAATTTGTTTCTACTTGTACTCTAATTCAGCTGAAACAAATAATATACACTATTGTTTAAATGTCTTTGCTAGCTAGCTTGATTACTGCTTAATTAATATATTTGTTTGCATGAATTAATTGCAGTGGAGATCATGATATGTGTGTTCCATACACGGGGAGCCAGGCATGGACTGGGTCTCTTGGGTATGAGATTGTGGATAAATGGAGACCTTGGATGTCTAATCAACAAGTTGCTGGGTAAATCTTAATTACCCATTACACAAGAGCTGAATCTGGACCATATATATATATAGTAAAATTTTGAATTCCTTAGTATTGTTAATCGTAAATACTCCTTTCCTTGAAAAAAAAATATATTTTCTCACAATTTCAGGTATACACAAGGATATGATACTGGCCTCACCTTTCTCACCATCAAGGTTTGTATATCATTGAGGTCCTCTATATGAGAAAAACATTGCTTGTCACTTGCCTAATAACATTACACATCACTTTCCGTTATGATATTTATGATTGCCATTATGTGGTACAGGGTGCTGGACATACGGTACCTGAATACAAGCCAAGAGAGTCGTTGGACTTTTACAGTCGTTGGTTAGAAGGAAAACAAATATGATTGTGACGGGGAATTCAAAGTTGATGGAAAAATATAGCGAGTAATAATCTTTGTACTCGGAACACTTTCAGAAAAAATTCATTTGAGTTGATCAATGGGAATGATAACATTCCTAATTTTTACAAAAGAAATTAATTGTACTAAGAGGAGATGATTTGATCAGTCTTAACTGCTTTGGCAGCTAATATGTGATAATCAACTGCATTAAATAAACACTCATATAATTGGGTTGGGACTCTAATTGAATTCTAGAACTTTTGGCTAATTAAAATAACCAGTGGGACAAAACTCGGTGGACAAATCATAAATTCTGCGGTTGAATCATCAGAAAATGATTGATATCACTAATAAATGGTTTTACTGACGTTTATATGGATCATTGGGACAAGGCCATCGTCTTTATTTTGGAACGCCACAATTATGTTCATTATGAAACTGTTGTCTTATTTAGAACGGCACCTAAATTTTTTAGTGACGTTTTAAAATCGCCGCATTAGTAATAAAAATGCTGCAAAATGGTTTTACCGACATTTTACAGACAGTCATCATCTTAAAAATAGAAGCGTCACCTATAGTTTTTGCGACGTTTTAGGGAATGCCATATACATACGTCTTTTGACAACAACGTTTTTCCTCCTCATAAAGTTCTTTTAATTTAATTGTTTATTAAATGCAATTAAATCACCAGCGACATCAAACTTCAAATTGCAATATTGACAAACTCATACTATATGCTCCTATTATGCAAAATAATTCAATAAATTAGGTTCTCAAAAAACAAAGAAAAAATAATTCAATAAATTAGACCAAGAACAAATATTACAAAACATCAAAATAGCAAGAATTTTTTTTATTATTTAAATCCAATAAACTACAATTCCTCAATTTCTATTTAATTCTATTGAAGAAAAAGATTAATGTTTGGTGGCCTGAAAATATGGGGCTCGAATGGCTCGAAAATGGCAAAACGACGTCGTTTTACACTCAAAACGACGTCGTTTTACACTCAAAACGACGTCGTTTTGAGTGTTTCGAGCCATTCGAGTCACATATTTACGGGCCATCAACCATTGCTGGAAGAATAAAATGTCTTCAATTATGCAATAATCTACTGAAGAACTGGAGCCAAAAACCCATCTTTGGATTATCACAAACAAAAGTGAAAACTATAGACGTCAATTGAAATGACATGAATCACCAAACATCTTTGAAATTGTCTTCCATTGCTGCAAAGAAAAGGTGAAAAAAGGAACAATTCTAATAATATATAACAAGGCCTCCCAGGCATAAATTTTGACTGTTTTTGAAATCTCCAGCTCTAAGTGCTTCATCATTTCTTAAAACTCATAAAATCTCAGGTCATATGAAAATCTTGGAACAAGTGACTCAAATCAATAACATTTGTAACACAATATCAGTTACATGCAAATGGGTTTCAGTTACAAAATCATAATACCTCAGTAAATAATTACGAAAATGCTTTGCAGGGCATTACCTGCAAGTTCATGTGTGAATCCATTGAGACAAGAAAACCTGAAAAAAAAAAAAAAAAAAAAAAAAAAGTAACAACAACAACAACTTGTTTTTGGTTAGTGAGAGTGTATTTTGAAACAAAATAAACAAATAAATAAAATCAAGATTGGAGAAGATGATAGCAGAGAGCGTTCCATGTTTGTGATAAAACACTAATAGATGCAATCACTATCCCTTTGCTCTGTTTCTCGGCAACCAAACAAATGTTAAATAAGCAAGATTGAAGCTAAGAACTAGAAACAGAAACAAGGGGAGAAACAGAGAGTTGGGAGACAGGGGTTTCTTGTGGTTGTGGTGAATTGGTGATAAAGAAGCTGAGAACCAAGGAGAGAAAGAGATAAAGATGGTGAGAGTGAGAGAGATAGAGGCAATAGTGATGAAGAGAGTGATGAGAAGATAGAGACGCAGAGAGATAGAGAGAGCAAATATCAGCATTGTTGAGAGAGACAGTGATCTAGAGGATTGATCTCAACCGTTGGATTGTTATTTAATCAACGGTTGAGATCTTGTTTAGTGATCAACCCCAAAAATCAGTCCAAGTGTGCTATTTTGTTTATTAAAAAAAATAAAAAAATAAAAGAACCACAAGTGAAACAAAAGCACAGCAGCTATAAACGGTCATATTTTTATGTTACAACGGCTATAAAAAAATAGTTCTTTTTTTTTTTTTTAAATACAAACCGTGAATCTCAATTTCATTTCATAGCAAGCCTTTTTCTTTTTCTCCTCTCTTTTTCTTAATTTCATTTCACAACAAACCTTCCAAATTACATTTTTATTTATAGTTTTATGCTCAATCTTATGCTTACTTTTGGGGGAGAATTTATGAAAATTATTGCTCCCTTCAGAATGATCAGTCAAGAACACAAGTGTTTATTCAATCTCGATGGGGTATAATCATGAAATGTTCCAACAAATTTCGTGGATGTTTAGTGCAAGTCGAAAATCTACACCCAAGTACGATGTCTCAAGTTGATATAGTAAGATTTCATTTTCATTTATTACGTCAGTTTTTTTTTTTTTTAAATTTTTTTGTCTCATATAAAAATTAACTAATTACTTAATTTAATATTTTATTGATACAGATGCTTCAAGCAAAACTTTTATACCATCAAGATGAAAATAAACATTTTGCTTTTGAACATTGTTGGTCAATCTTGCAAAACAATATCAGGTGGCAAGATGTAGCTCCTACGAATACGGTGAAGTCAAGGATACATACACCAACTCATGAGTCAAAACCTAAGTTCAATCACCACAAGAAAGAGTCCCAATAACAACATAATTTGTAAAAATGTATATATGACTTAAAGAAAAATCCCTACCTCAAGTTTTTGAAGGAAAAAGAGAAGAAAGTCCCAAAATCAACAGTGTCGAAACCCAATCTCCGCCGCACACAACGTAGCCCTTGAAGAGTTCTCCAACTTGGATAAAGGAACTAGGGTCAAAATATTAATGGGTTTGGAGAAATCAAGGATTTTGTGAGGTTTGGTGTAGGAAAAGTGGAGAGAATGATGAGAAATGTGTTTTTAGAGAGAGAGAGGGGGATGATGAAAAAGTGATATACACTCAGTCCAAGAAGAAAGAAAAATGTAGATTTTCGACACCCATTCCCGCATGTCACGCCCCAAGTTTTATTACTCGAAACTATAACCAAAACCTTTAATACAAGCCATTTAATTAATTACAGTTATTATTACAAACACCCATTACATGGGGTAACAATAACAACATTGTTCACTCTCAAATAGTACCACAATAATACATGTACAAAATTCACATTGAAATACACATGAATCTCTCATTTACAAAAAGCATCTCTCATTTACACTATGACCAAATAATAGAAAATAAACTCTTCAATCCTCAATCCGGCATTCCAAATTTTGTTCCTGAAAAATGGTTAAAATAATTGGGATGAATATGAAGTCCAGTAGGAATCTTCCATGATTCTAAACAATAAGGTCCCTAGATACATGTGATCATGAAATGCTAAAAAGTGATATAAATATAAATTCGTTGTGTTCTTTTCATACACAAATTACAATACTTATAGGTAATACCATTCTCATAAAGAAATTCATGAAAACTTTTCAAAGAAAAACCCTTTCATTTGTTTATGTATTAGTCAAATATATTTTTCAAAAAAAAAATCTTTTCAAGAATCCCTTGTTAACTTTACCTAAAAGTATAAACATATCCACGAGTCATTTTCCTATATATCACAACACATTACAACCCATTATAATCCACATAAAAAGAACCCATGCAATTTCATATATTCGACTTTACCCAATCAAGATTATTCACTTTCCATTATCTCAAACACAAGTACAAATCTCGCTATAATCATTCCATACAATCCAAATTGGACACCGGCTCCATTACCAAACCTTAACATCATACCACACGCTTTACCGGTCACAAGCCGGAAGGAACGCGGAACCTTTACACGTTTCATCAACCCACACGCTTTACCGGGCACTACTCCAGAAGGAAGGCGGAACCTTTATTAAGCGCCACGCTTTGTTGGCTCAAATACAGCGAGAAACGGACCCCAAGGCAACATTACAATCCATCAAGTTCTTAAGTCATTGCTCATTATAAATTGTGGGCAAAGCCAACGCATTCATTCATCATTTCATTACTTATTAGCTCAAGAACAAGTACTCATTATTTTCCACCATTCTCTAGTATTCATCAAGTCATTCGTTGTTACAATCCCAACAAAACCAATAATAATATCCATTATTTTTATCACAAAACTCATCCAATAACACGTCCATTAAGAGCATTTGGCGCATTTTTAGAAGCATTCTCAATTCTTATATTTCAATGGTCTTTTAACTTTTCCACAAAATTATCAAATTTTCATACTCAATTTCATAACACAATAATCATCATAAATTATCCCCAATTAATTGATTTAATTACTCATCTTGTTTTCTTCAAAATAATCTTTCTATACAATAGTTATTTTCCAACCATTATTCATCATTATCTATTCTCATCTCTACAAAACATAAACTTAATTTCATAAATTGAATGTCTGTTGAAGCTTTCTTCATTCCCAACATAGATTTCATAACTAGGGTTAAACATAAATTAGGGCTTTTTACTATTTGACACAAAGCCACATTCTCATAACCTAAACACTTTATATTTCACTTACATCATTAATTCAACTTCCATAAATTAAAAACCCTAGCTTCCTTCACATGTCTTTTATAAAAAATCTCCTCAAAATGAGGGTTTTATGCAATGAAAATTATCACACATCCATCCACAAGATATTATTGAAGAGAAGTAAGGAAAATACCTACCTTAAGCAAGGAGAGAGAGAAACCCGAAGTTTCGACTTCAACGAAAACACGGTCCGCTTGGATGGATTGAAAGCCCTTGGCGCGCTCTACAACCTTCCTCAAGGGGCCTAGGTGAGAAGATGCTTCTAGATTAGTAGATCTAGCAATCTAAGTGGGAAAAAGTTGGGTTTAGAAAGAGATGAGAGAGGCTCATGGTTTGAGAGAGAGGAAGGAGGAGAGAAGTGAAATGAAACCATGCTTGCAACCTATTTATAGTAGTAGAGAAGTAGCCCTAAGGTCAACAAAATAATAAGCCCAAAACCCGCCAAAGGTAGGGCCCATTTGAACCCCAAAATCTGAAAAAAAAAACACGCAGGGGTCG